TTATTATTGTAATAATGATCAGTTGCCGAGGGGGGAAAAAAGACTGACGCGTTTGTATGCGACGTTCAACGTCCGGACCGCTAGTGCCCCCCGACCCGACACGCAGCCACACGTGTGCAGGCCGCCCATCTGACCCCGACACACGCCAGAGTAGATATGCGCGCATGCCAACAACAAACGTGTTGGTATTTAAAAAGGCCGCTGATTGGTCGCATGCAATCGGCTAAGTGAATAATGGTTCACGATTCAGGTGCAATGGATGGTTTGCGGGAACAGAATAAGTTCGTTCTGGGAGAAAAATTAGCAAAGCCACATCTGCGGGGGCTGTCCCCCCTGGAAGCGACCTCGTTGAATCCGAGCTCGCTGATTTAAGTGCTCGTTGAATCTGGGTTACTTTTATTGATTTTAAAGAAGGGGAAAAAAACGGGGAATCTATCTCATCTCGTTGAATCCGAGTTTTCGTTGAATCCGAGTTCCACTGTAATATCCCCATATTATTATTAGGCTATTATTATGATTATGGTGATATTGTTGTTCTTGTTGTTTTTGTTGTCGTTGTTATTTTGATTTCACCACCACCACCACCATCATCATCATCACCATCATCACCATCATCATCATCATCATCATCATCATCATCATCATCATCATCATCATCATCATCATCATCATTATCATCATCATCATTGTAAACAGTAAGGAATAAAAAAGGGTTGCGACTTGTAGAATTTCCAGGAGATTTTTTAAATAAAAGTTCAACGTTTTGCCCAATTAAGGGCTTCATCAGGAACATACAAACAACTAATATTAGATCTTATAACTACAATAGCTATAGTAACCATCATCATAGTAATCATCATCATCATTGGCATGAATCACTCTTACTTTTGTCTTTGAAAACCAGATAACCAGCTGACATGGCGGCTGCAGTCTCCATAGCAACATCACTTCCAGGTCTGGACGCTGTGATCTTGTAAGATGGCCTGGGCATTGTCATGTCCTCTGGCCGGCCCCAGTATCCGTGGTCTTGCCCCGGGTTGCCCACCTGAGTTGGACAAGGGAAAGAAATTTTAAAAAATAACACTTGTATTGCGCTTATCCCCGCTCTAC